TGGACCTCATGTTTTACAAGAAACGGGCCATATTTCATATTATGGATCGTTGTATTCGCCTGGCAGCAGGCCTTGAAATTTCCGACAGAGAACGCGACACTATCATCGACGCCTACCACTACTGCTGGATTGCCTATCACGGACCCTTCAAAGTTTTATACTCAGATGGAGAAGGCGCCCTGAATAATGATGCCGCTAAAAGCATGATGGCCAATAAGGGCACGGAACTTCGTATCCGAGCACCTGGCCAACACGCGACTTCAATTGAGTCACGAAACGGAATCCTCAGAGGTGTCCTCCATATGATTGAGGAAGAACTGAACAGACACAACATCCCTGTTGTATTCACTAGAGTCTTGGCGGAAGGCATCTTCGTTACTAATGCGTTCACGTTTTATATCGGAGTATCGCCATATCAGGCACACACAGGACGTCAGCCCTCCTTCCTTCCTGATCTCGATACCCTTGACTTTCCCAAGGGACCCGAGACTTCAGGACACGAACGAGAACGTCGTGTAAGGGAAGTCAGCCTAGAAGCTATAACTCAGGCTACTGCTGTAGCCAAGACAAATCGGGCTCTTAGGGCCAAGACGACTCCTGATGGTGCTCGCCTTTACTCATCAGGTGATTTGGTCGACTATCACCGACCTACTGCCACCAAGGACGACCATGGAGGCTGGAATGGCCCATTCCCGGTGATCCGAATGTGCCTGAAAGAGGACATATCGTTGTCAAGGCAGGATCTCGTGAGGTAATTGTGATGTATCCTGATGCTCGTCACACACTATACATCGAATGTCTCCTCACACGGGAACTTGGCATGGATAACATGGCCATGCAAACCGTCCTTGCCTATGTGGCACATCTCAGTGCAGGGAAACCTGCCAAAGTTTTCGGGTATATTCCCGACTACAAGGGAAACCTTAACCTGTCAGACGATAGCAAGTTTCACCCGCGCGTACACCTAGCACTACAGTATCTCGTACGAAATTACTTCAGAGTGGAACATGTAGTAGCAGTTCGATTGGCTAAGAGTGTGTCAAGCCTACCTGCAGTAAAGTACGCCACCGGGTCTACGCTGATCCACTATGACAATGACATTAGCCCGGCGTTCCACTACTACGAATGTGTGGGCACCGGCCTAAACATCTCTCAGATTACTGGTAGCACTCACTCCAGACTTATTCAATGCTTGACTTCACGCGTCCCTTCCTTAGGATTTCACGATGACCAAGCTAAATATCAGCATCCAAGCAACCCGTCTGGAGAACACGAGTCGCCTGGAAACAGGCCTTCTCCAGACACACCAGATGCTTCATCGCCTAGCGAAGGCCGTCTGTCGACAATCTATGAGGAAAATGAGGAACACAATATCGAAGCCATGATGCTGGAAGAGTGGTACGACGAACTACGTATGGACCTTCATCCTACGACGATTACAGATGATTATCTCTATTGCGTCCCAACAACTATGCTGCCTAACCAATGCGTTTTGGTTTCAGCATTTGCGGACGAAGATGATATTACATCATCAGATATGCTCGGAGACGAGCCTAAATCATGTGAGTCTTGTCTAGTATCTCTTTGTTCGAACACAAACGACGAGAGCTATTCCCTAGACAGTGATGAATATGGTCCTTACGTTGAACTATGCTGTACATCAGAAATGTCAAAAATAGTGTTGGATCAGACCGAACTTGCACAGCTCGATACCGATATGGTCGCAACGATGAGAGTATATGTATCCAATGCCGCTAAACGTGCTGTGGTTGTCAAAGAAGACGACCTACTGACCAAAGCCGACATAGCAGCACATCCAAAGGAGGTTAGTGAAGCCTTATATACTGAGCTCAAGATCTGGATTGATAACCGATGCTTTGAGATGTACGACTTATCCAAAGCTTCCAACATCATGACATCCAGATATGTATACAAGTGGAAGTTCGTAAAGATGGACACCGAGAACGTTAAAACCATTCGTCTCAGACTGGTCCTTCGTGGATTTATGGATACTGAGGCCTTCGATGTGGAAACATTCTCGGGAACCGCCCGAAGGCAGTCTCAACGACTCTTGGCAAGTGAAGCGGCATGTCATCCAGAGTGGATCTTAGCATCCATGGATATCGATAAGGCGTTCCTTAAAGGTTTGACCTACGAGGAACTTGCCCATGCCACTGGCGAGGAAACTCGCATGGTCTGCTTTACTCTTCCACCAGGAAGCGCTCAGGTACTTCGTACCCTACCCGGCTTCTCATCCTACGACGAAAGTCGACACTGTCTTAGGTGCCTCAAACCAGGAACGGGTACTAAGGACGCCCCAAGAGCGTTCTCTCTCAAACTTCGTACGACCACACGAGCTATAGGACTTACACCGACTAGTTACGATCCTGAATTTGAATTCAGCCAAGATCTTCTGACTGCAAAACATGTCGATGACATTAATATGACAGGTCTAGAGGAAAATATCGACGGCTATGTACAACGTGTCGAAAAGGTTTTTGGCAAATGCAAGCTCAACAAGCACACGTATACGAACTGCGCCGTCCGCTACACTAAGAATGATCAGGGAGATGTGATCATGGACCAGGACGAGTATATCAAACAACTACGTCCTATCACACATCCAGAACTTACAGGAGCGGCGGCCGACGCCAAAGCCACGAAACTTATTACCGACATGTTCGTCAGCCTTCGAGGAGCCCTCGCCTATGCCCTTCTTACTCAAATCTGGCTTATGGTATATGTGGTCTCTCTCCAGAAAATTCAAGAGCCCACCAATTTACAAGTCAGACGTTTGAATGCTGTGACGCGAAAGCTGATCAGCAGTCCGAAACGCATCACCTTCCCTCGGATGAAGCCGACGAATGAAGTCGACATCCATAGCGATTCGGGATATCGGAAGCTTACCGGGGAGGAGGATGACGAGACCAAGGGCTACGGCATACGCGGGGCCAACGTACTACGGCGAGGAAACTCGCCTCAAGGCAAGTCCGTCGTTCACCTCTGTGACGGACTATGCAAATCACACCGATTACAGGTGAGGTCCAGTTATGCTGCGGAGGCACTTGCAGCCGCACATAACCTTGATGAGTGTTACCCTACGCTCATTACTCTCCATGAGCTTAAGGCAGGGGCCTTGACTCCACGACAACTACGAGATATGCGTGAAGTTGGAGGCCTTGCTATCAAAGTCTCTCTGACCATAGACGCTGAGTCCGTCTACAAATCTTTATCAAGCAGGGATCTCAAAATACCCACAGAACGGACTCTGCTTGGACATATCAGTTGGATACGTGAGCTTATGGATATAGGTATAGTACATAACGTGCAATGGTGTGATACTAGGGATATGACCGCAGATGGGCATACAAAGGGAAGCATCGATCGGGAACTGCTTCTGGAAGTGATGTCAGGCACTCAGTCATTTAAGTATGACGTGAAGCAATTTGTTCCCTTTCGGGGTCCCGAGGACAGAGACAAACCTAAGTCTAATCAATTTTAGTCTGTCCTTGTTGCCCTCGTGGTCCAGTTTGCCAGCACGGGCGCCTACTATAAAGGCGCCCCTCTAGTTGCTCGGAAACGAGCCTCATATTTCACGCCTGGCAACGAGCCGGCTTCATACAACTCAGGCTCTTTGCCTTAATACACATTTGCTTGGTGAGGTATGGCCTAATTTTGGCCTACCTCTAACTAGGCCGATAGCCCTTCATTATTTGAAGGGGCTGTTCTGTATTTGCGTGAAATACTTCGCGAGGAAACTCGCCTTACAGTCTGGCGTTTGGCCAGTCTGTACGCACTGTTTTCATTTCTTTGCAAACAGTCGTGCGCGCGAATTTTGCGTGCGACTATGCTCTCCGTCTCCTCCCCTCCCGACTTTGAGGGTAGCTCTTTGGGAAATGTTATAGTATCGGGAGCATAGCTCGCGCGCCGCTGCCTTGGGCTCAAGGCACGCGCGCCCTATTTGCCCGGACACTGCTTGTGTTCGCTATGTGCTGGAAAGATCATTACATCGATCTTATCCTATCTTACCCATCCACCCCTCATACTGTACCCTCACAGCAGAGCGATGGATGCTATTTGCCAGGCTATATGCCCTATTTGAGTTACCAGGCTCACTTTCGACTCCCCCAAGGGGCCGCCCCGCGCGCGCGAACTAGAAATATTGTTAAGTAGTTACCGGAGATCTTAGCACGCCTCTGGCCCGTTGGGCCGGCGAATTGAGCCACTCTTGGACTTTCTCGAGGCCCTCTTCAGCAGTCCTGGGTTCATCTTTGACTGCTCATCCCATGAAGCAACTTGTATCTGCACCGATGCCATGCTGCACATGGTAAGCTATGTGTTCTGGTACACTGCCTGACAGGAAAGCAAACAATGCAATGTCTTTTCCTTGAGGGGCCCATTCTCGCTGGAGTCGAAGAGCGACGAGTATGTGCACGTGCGTGCGTGTCTAAGCGTCCCGCGCCCTCGCGCGCGGCGTATTCTTTGACTAGTCTGCTCTGGAGGACAAGCTCCTGCCCTTGGAAAGAGAGAGCGACTTCCACCACTTCCACCAGCCGCAGGTGCCAACGGGGTAGGGGCTCTGGCCAGAGCAGCGAGGCTGCGCCCTTTCGCCAGGGGCTTGGCCGCCGCGCCTGGCCGACTGGACCGCCGCGAGGGCAGGCTGGGGGAGCTCTTCTCTTGCTTTCGCGCCAGCTCTTCGTGCGCGTGGCCGCTTGGGGCCAAGGCTTTGCGGCCCCACGCGCCAGCGCTGGCCGTTCCCTTGGCGCGCACATGTGTTTCTCGCCTATGCCCGGCCAGCGCAGGAGGGGGTATGGGGGAGGAGGGGAGGCTTCTTGGAGGCGCTCCTGCTTCTCAGAAGGTGAGGGCTGGCGCCTTCTAAGAAGCAGCCTCCTTCGGAGAAGCCTTCCCCCCGTCCCCCTACCGCCCTTGTGCGCGCCGCCGATATGCTGAGCTGCCCGGCAGCTCGCCGCGTTGGCACGGTCTATCGGGCGGCGGCGCAGGCGTGCGCGGGCGCGGCCGCCGAAACCGACGCGGGGGCGGCAGCGCGGCCCTCGCAGGCCGCTGCGGAGGCGGAGCTGCGTGGACGGCTGCGGCAAGACCGCTTCGCACACGACGGGCTGCTGCGGCAGCTGCGTCAGGCGGCGGCCGCGGGGCAGCTGGACCCCGTGGACTGGCGCCGCCTGCGCGCCGAACTGACAGAGGCCGCGCCGCAGCTGAGGCCCGCGGAGGTGCCCATGGTGCTCGGAGGTCTGGCGACGCGGCGGAGCTCGAAGAAAAAGAGAACCTAACAGCACAACCATGCAATCTCAACGGGCCGCGCGGACCTCTGAAAGTTTATGTCAATCCAGTTTGTTGTACCTCCAGGTCTGGCGACGCTGCGGAGCGTGGAGCCCGCGTACCTCTCCCCCGTGCTGCAGCCGATCGGCCACCTGGCCCCGTTCATGTCCGGGCCGCAGTTGGTCGCCGCGCTCTCCGGCCTCTCGGCGCTGGCTCCGCCAGCGGCAGACGGCGGCATCGCCGACCCGGCGCTGGGCGTGGTGCAGCAGCAGAGCGACTTGATGTTCGGCCTCGTGGAGGCTCGGCTGGGGAGCCTGAGCCACGAGGACATGCTGCAGCTCCTCGAGGCCGTCCTGCATCTCCAGTGCCACCAGGCGGATTTGCTCGAGACCATCATCAGCCACCTGCCCTCGCCCACGGGCTTGCCCACCTCGCGCCTGCAGAGGCTGCTGCTGACTCTGCAGGGGCTTCTCAGAGAGGCGTGGGTCGGTGAGACCTGCGTCGCTGGAATCCGCACGGTGCTGCTCGACTGCCGGACTGCAGTTCGGACGCGCCTCCGGACGCTGTCCGACCAGGAGTTGCTTCAGGTGTTGCTGCTGTCCGTGGGCGTCGAGCGCGCCCTGAGTGCTCTGCATGCCGAGCAGGCGGCACTCCGCCGGGACGAGCCTGGAGTGGACCTGGGCCCTGGCGAGCTGCTGCTGCTGGCTGGCGAGGGCAGGCTCCGGACGGCCGGGTCCGCCGCAGGATTCGAAGAAGAAAAAATCGCATAAGCAGAAATTTGGGGAGCCCCTTCTCGGACCGGCGCCTCCGGGAGGCGCTCCTTGGCTGGCTCTGACCAGTCAGGGCCGCAGCTTGCGAGGCCCGGCCAGATCCAGGTCGGACTCGGTTCCCCGACCCCTCCCACAGAGGAGGAAACATCTACGCGAATATCAACTGTCCGAGCTCTGCGCAGCTTCCTTGGATCTGCACTGGGGCCAGCCCCCCTGGCGGCGCCTCCGGCACAGCCCCTGGCGCGCTCCTCGCGCCAGGGAAGGGGGTCAAGCGCCGATCCAGGAAATCCACGCGGAACTCCGAGAAATTATGTGCATGCCGCTTTTTGTCCTCCTGAGGATTCCACAGGCTTCTGCTCGGCCAGCTCGGGAGCCCCCACAGCGTCCTCGCCGAGATGAAGCCACGGGAGGAAGGCGTTTTTTATTCCCGGGCAATAGCGGGCGTTACCTTGGGGGGGGAGGGGGTGGGCGGGGGGCCGTTAACGTCGCGTTTCGCATTGGCGCCGTCTTGGAATGCCGATGACTGACCAGAGCCCAGTCCGAGGTCAGCACGAAGCGTGAAGTTGCCTGGGCAGGCGGCCGGGGCCCGTAACGGCCGCTATCGCGGAAAATAAACACCGGTCTCGAGTGCGTCGAGTTGGCGAGGGCTCTCGCGGCGCTCTCGGCCGCCGAGAGGGCAGAGCAGCCGGCCGCTGTGCGCGCGTGGCCGCCGCCGTACCTGGCGCGCCTGTGCCCCTCGCTCGTCGAGCGTGTCCTGGAGGTTCCGGCCTGCCCGCACCGGGAGGCCGGGTGCACCTCGCCGTCGGTCGTCTTCGTCGTCCTCGTCGTCGTCCTCGTTCTCGTCGGCGTCGGCTTCGTCGTCGTGGAGGTTCAGGCCTGCCTGCACTGGTAGGCTGGATACACATGACTCGAGGAAGAAACAATTGCATAAACATAAGCGTTCGACAAGCCTTCCCTCGTTTTCGCCTTTCTGGGCCTTCTGGGAGGCCCTTGTCGCCACCGCTGGGTTCGACTCGAAATTCTGGTCAGATCGCACCCCAGGAGAGGTCCAGGGATACACATGAGGGGCTCAAGAAAGAGCCTCGCCGTCGGGGATCGAAGGAGTTGCCGTATCTTCCTTAGCGGAAGGCAGGCGGAAGGCGGCGGAAGTGATACGAGGCCGTCTCCGCTGGCGGAGGCCAGCGGAAGCTGGCAGAAGTAAAAATCTGCCTCCCAAGAGATGGCAAGGCTTTTTGTTTCAGGGTTCTCGGAACCAGCCATATGACGAGGCCGGATACACATGATCGAGATGAGGAGAAGGTACCCATACCGCTACCCTTCCTCGTTTTCGCCTTTCCGGGCCTCCTGGGAAGCCCTTGTCGCCGCCGCTGGATTCGCCTCGAGGTTCGACGCGGTCGGCCTGGGCCAGAGCTGGATTCAAAGAGGCAAAACGGGGTAAACATACATTTCTGGAGCTCCGCGCAGATTTATTCCTTGGATCTGCGCTTGGCCCCTGTGCCCCCCCTGGCAGCGCCTCCGGCGCCGCCGCGCGCACGGAAGGGGGGTGCCGCGCAGATCAAGGAATTCGCGCAGATCTCCAAACTATAATGCTTATGCCGTCTTTGTTGTTCCTCCTCCATCTCCTCCTCCTCCTCCTCCTCCTCCTCCTCCTCCTCCTCCTCCTCCTCCTCCTCCTCCTCCTCCTCCTCCTCCTCCTCCTCCTCCTCCCCTCCTCCTCCTCCTCCTCCTCCTCCTCCTCCTCCTCCTCCTCCTCCTCCTCCTCCTCCTCCTCCTCCTCCTCCTCCTCCTCCTCCTCCTCCTCCTCCTCCCTCCCCCCCCGTGCCGACGCCGTTCGATATGAGATTTGTGGAAAAGCCCAGGGGACGCACGGGGCGCCACTACGAGTTCCCTGAGCTCGAAGAGCAGCCCCTTATCCAGTGAATGGCTGGGCGACAGTGGCCTAGGACCTCATGCCCTCGCACTCACGGCAGGCACGCCCTTCCCCAGGGAGGCAGGGCATCATGGGACCGGATGCGCTCCCGTGTCGATGGACAGGCATTGGCACCCGCCTGTGGTGCCTGATGTAAGGGCGACAGTGTCGGCTCTTCGTGCATCCGCAGATTTTGCGTGTCAATCTTCGTCGCGACAAGGACACAGCCCAGCGGCAAGGCCGGCGGTCCTGCACACTCACCTCTTCCTGGTTCTCCCACTTCGTTTGCTGTGGGCGCTGCCTGGCGGCAGTGCCAGTTTGTGTGCATTTGTTGATTCTGCGCGCCTTCCCCTGTCGCGAGGCAGATGCCTCAAGGACGTTGCCCGGCGGCAAGGCCGGCGGTCCTGCGCACTCTCACGTCGAATTGCTACCCAGGTTCGTCCTCTTTAAAAGCAGGCTGGCGGCTATGCCAGCCATCGTGCGTCCGCAGTCTATGCGCGCTTACCCCCTGTCGAGAGTCTGTCGCCTCGAGGACGTTGCCCGGCGACGGCCAAGGGTCCTGCACGTTGCCATGTCTCTCCGGTCACGACGTTTCGTTTTCTTTGGGGCGTTGGCTGGCGGCTGGCTCTCGTACGTCCACAGTCTCTACGCGCTTACCCCTGTCGTGAGGCAGTTGTTTCAAGGACACAGCACGGTGGTAAGGCCGGCAGTCCTCCGCACCTTCGCGTGGCCCGTGTTACCACGGCTCGTCTCCTCTTGTACGCTGCCAGGCGGCAGCGCTTGTTTTCGTGCGTCCGCAGATTCTGCATCCTCCCGTCGCGAGGTAGTCGCCTCAAGGACACAGCCCAGCGGCAATGCCCGCGGTCCTGCACGCACACATAGGCCAGGGTCTCACAGTTATCTACTTTGGGCGCTCCCTGGTGGCATCGCCAGCTTGCATGCCTCCGTAGTTTCTGCCCGCTTGACTTCGTCGCGAGGCAAGTGCCTCGAGGACGTTGCCCCGCGGCAAGGCCTGCGGTATTGCACATTCTCACGTCGAACCACTACCAAGGTTCGTGTCCTCTTGGGCGCTGTCTGGCGGCACTGCCGGCTACCGTGCGTCCGCATATTCTGCGAGTTTGCCCCCGTCGCGAGGCAGTCGCATCAAGGACACAGCCCGGCGGCAAGGCCGGCCGTCCTGCACTTCGACATTCCTTTGGTTCTCACACTTCGTTTCTGTAGGGTCGCCCTGGCGGCACTGCCAGTTTGCGAGCGTTCGCCGAGTCTGCGCGCTTACCACTGTCGCGAGGTAGATGCCTCAAGGACTTTGCCCTGCTGAAGGCCGGCGGTCCTGCACGCCCTCGCGTCGAACCGCTAGCAAGCTTCGTCCCTTTTTTGGCGCCATGGCCAGTCATCGCGCTTCCGCTGATTATGCGCGCCCACCCTCGTCGCGAGGCTGTTGCGTCAAGGACACAGCCTGACGGCAAGGCCAGAGGTCCTGCACATTCCCACGTCTCACCGAAAATCGTCTCTTTTTTGACACTGGCTGGCGGCACTGCCAGATTTCGCGCATCCACAGGTTCTGCGCGCTAATCCCAGTTGCGAGGCAGTTTGCTTCAAGGACATAGCCCAGCGGAAAGGCCGGCGGTCCTGCACATTCTCACGTCGAGCCGCTACGAAAGTTCGTCCACTTTTGAGCGCTGGTTGGCGGCAGTGCCAGATTGCGTGCACCCACAGATGATGCACGCCCACCCCCCTCACGAGGCTGTTGCCTCAAGGACACAAGCTGACGTCGAAGCCAGCGGACCTGCACACCCCCACGCAGAGGACTCTGGCATACCTCGACCTTGCTGTTTTCAAAAACAGAACATAACTCCATCGATCAAATCCGAAGACACGTTCATTGACACGTCAGGAGGTTTTGGCCTCCAGGGCACAGCCCGGCGGCAATGCCGACGGTACTGGCCTTGCGTGTCATGTGCCTCCAGGGCGCGGCCCAACTACAATGCTGGCAACGTTGTTCGCATTCCAGGACACAGCCCAACGGAAATGCCGGCTGTCCTGCACACCTTCCCACGAGGCAGTCGCGCATGAGCCGGCGACATCGCCGGGAGTGTTGTTTCCATTCGATTTGTCGGTGATTCCGCCCCCCTGGACACTGAGCTGGCGGGCCTGCGCGCCTGGTCAGAGGCATTGGCCTCCAGGATACAGCCCAGCGGCAATGCCGGTAGTTCTGAACACCATCCCCCCCGCGAGGAGAGTCAGGGCATAGCCCGGCAACGACGCTGGAGCTTCTGTCCTGCAGGACAGCGCATCGGCAATACCGTCGGTCCTGCTCACCCCAGGCCTGGCCAGCCGTCGGCGACCTTGGGCCCCGCCGTCCACGACCGCCAGCGTGGCCCCGAGCAGGGGCTCACTGCACGGGGGGAACGCAGAGTGGCCACCCTCGCGCGATGCAGCTGGGGCGAAGCATCCCTTGGAACAGCTCCCTCTTGTCACCCCGCAGCGAAGACATCGGCGGCAGTGGACGGGGTCGGCCCCGTCCATCCTTGGGGGGGCGACCCGGCCTGCCTGAAAGCTGCCTGCCCGTGTCACCCTTGGGATGGCGATCCGACTTGCGATGGCGCAGGTCCCCCCTTGTCACCCCTAAGGTGCCGCTGCGGTGAAGCAGGCGCACATGCCCCAACTAGGGTAGCAAGCCAATCTGCCGTGGGGCCGCCAGTGAGCTGCCCCAGGCCCCCCGCAAGGTAAGGGAGCCAGCGTCTGACATTAGTCTGGGGGATGTCAGCCCATCCTCTGATCAGGTGGTGAGATACGCTTCATGACGGATCACTTGTACGGTAGGAGGCGATGGGGGCTATCGTGAAGAACCCGCCGCCGAACCGACTGTGTCGAACAGAGGTGGCTGTCTCGGGGTATGTTGACTACACATACCATCCACCATACCAGGTGCCAGCAACAGTGCCAGCACAGGCTCTGGGACCAGAAAGGCTGTCATCCCAACCTTCACGATCATCTTCGCAGGTTTATGCTTACCCCAAAGGGCATTAGCACTACACTGTAATCCTCATTCCTCCTCCTTGTCCATCCCTTCTTCATATAAACAATTCCTTCCTGTCGCACCCCGAAGCGCATCGGCAAGGTGGACCAGGCGTTTGGCATGCGACTTCCTCACCGCTTACGATCCTGCAGCTGAAAATCTGCAAGAGCTTATCGGAAGGAGGGCGGACCGCTTTCAAGATGTTGTTCTCGCTTTAGCGCCGCCTACAGTAGTTTTAAACATTGGCATGAATGGAGGGCGGGTCGCTTTCAAAATGTGGCTCTCGCCTTAACGCCGCGCACACTCGTTTGAAACAGCTGCAAGAATATTGCTGATGAAGGGTGGTCCGCTTTCAAAATGTGGTTGTAGATCTGGTGCCGCGCACGTTTTTTTTGTGAGTGTACAAAGGTTTCACGGATTCTTACAGTTAAAGTGCCAGGAGTTGCGTTTTGGTACATGTCAGATTTTCAGGGCGCCCCAGTTACGTTGATTCGCGGTGTTGAAGTCCCAGGAATGGAGTTCGGGCACAATTCAGGATCGTCAAGACGCAACAATAACGGTGCTTTGCGGCGTTAAAATTCCAGGACGGGTGTTCTGGTGTGCAATCAACCTTACCAGTCTGGAACAGACCCTTATCCCCATGACTGCCATTGCCTCATCTCGGTGCCTGTCTTAAGTACTCCTTCAGTTTTCGAGGGCGCATCCACGAGATTGTCATCGCCTTTTGGCTTGTCAATGTTAAGGATAGGGATACGTTCGAGGCTGGTTACAACCATGCGTTTCCAGCTTCCTTCTAGATTCAGATGCACGTTCACTTGCGGGTGATGAATGCTTAAACAAGCTAAGGTGTTCAGCGCCGTGCTTGCAGGGTGTTTCTTGCACCAGGACCGCTAAACATGAGGGCCGCGTTGTTCCGAAATGCGCAGCCCCATCCTTTGTCTTGATAATTGTGAATTTGAGTTTCTCGTGGGAAAGAACCCGAGGCCTTTCCCCGTAACATCTCGCAGAGACTATAATTTGGGCGGTGCGTTATCAATTCATATTCAATGCGTTCCACCTCCAAGCTGGAAGTTTTGATTCTCGAGCTTCCGATCTTAGAGGTCAGACTTGCGTTTATGAAATTAAGGCTCCATCCTGGAGGTTACGCATACTCTGAATCCAAGCATGGGACATTCCCTTGCAGTGGCCAAACTCTCCGAATTCGACTGGACTGGGGGGCGGGGGAGCTCTCGTCATTTCGAGGTTCTCGACATCCTGCGGGCGGACGAGTTGCTGTCCATCCTGGAGGGGCTGTCCTTGGATCTTGGCTACAGGCTGGCGTGAGGGGATCAAAATGTGCTGCTGTGTATACTTGTGTATGCTGCCTTGTGCGACAGCGACGTCTTGCCATTCTTGACATCCCGATCCGTCCACCCACTTTTCACCTTCTCTCGACAGAGTAGCATAAATGTTCGACGGTCCGCGCGGATTTTTGGGATCTGTGCTGGACCCCCTCTCCGCGCGGAGTGCGCCAGGGGCGGCGCCGGAGGCGTCGCCAGGGGGGTCAGAGCAGATCCAAGAAATCAGCGCGGACTGTCGAAAGTGTCTGTTTATGCAGTTTGTTCTTCCTCTAGTTTCCCCTCCCCTTCTCTGGCCTGTCCTGTCCTTTTTCGCATCTCGCTCGCGCTGCACTGTGCTGATTGAGTTCGAATGCCCAGCGCCACGGCGCCACCGCTCCGTTCCTCGTGGGACTGCGCCCCGTCGCCATTGGAGCGTCCGTCCGCCCGTCCCCCCTGCTCTGGCCTTCGTGTGGTGGCCGCGGCAGGGACCACTACTTCGCCGACCGCTGCGCCGAAGCGCTGCGCCCGCGGCTGGTGCCGGTGCGGGACACGCCGCACGGGCAGGACCGCACGAGGGAGAGGGTGGAGGAGGAGGAGGAAGAAGAGGAGGAGGAGGACGAGGAGGAGGAAGAGGAAGAGAAGGAGGAGGAAGAGGAGGAGGAGGAGGAGGATGAGGAGGGCCCGCTGGCGGAGGGGGTCCCGCTCCTCAGGAAGATGCGGACGAAGGTTCGGAGGGGGGAGGTCCAAGAAGAACCAACTACATAAGCATTCACTTTCGATGGCCAACGTGGATTTCTCGGATCTGCGCTGCCCCTACCCCGCCGTGTTGGAGGGCACCACTGCAGGGCTGGAAGGTCGTGTCCCATGGGTTTGCAGTCTCGACGTACCTTGAGGGAATGAAGACACGGATTAAGGCAGCGTGGATTAGCGACGGAATTGGGGAGCCCCTTTGAGCATCGCATGAGAATTCTATTTCATGCTTGGAGCCGTCTGGCGGTCTGAGGTGGCCCAGCACTGGTTCTGGCAGGCCGCAAAGGCACGCAGGTTCGAGGCGCTTGCTTCGGGAAGGCTTGTTGCCCTTTTCGGCCTCTGGGGGCCATTTTCGGGATTCGGGACCGTCAAAGACGGATCTGGGGCGAAAAATTGCACCAGATGGACCCTCGGAGTCGTTCATTATGGGTGAACAAACAGTGGCATGAACATAATGTTTCGGAGATCCGCGCGGATTTCTCGGATCGGCGCTGGACTACCTGGCGGCGCCTCTGGCGGAGGGGGGTCAAGCGCCATCAAGCAGCGATGCAAGAAATCCGCGCGGACCTCCAACAGTTCAGGTTATGTCATTACTTGTTTGCCTATCTGCAGTCTCGACTTACGGAGCGTGCGCTGCATGTCCTCTTGGCCTGTCGCATGCGGGGGTGGCACGCAGGAGGCGAAAGCGGTGTGCATCTCTAGGCGCCCAGTCCCTCGCTCTCTGTTGGGCTGTGAGCCATCAGTGCTCCGCCCTGCAGCAGCTGCAGCGTGGCCAGGCGCCTACACTTGACCGCAGGAGGTTTTTAATGCTGCTGGAGGCCCCCCGCCCCCCAAAGCTCCTGACCGCCAATAAACTCTGCGCGTCCCGCGGGTTCGTTTTGTCCTTTTCCTTCCCCTTCTCCTCCCCTTCCCTTCCTCCTCCTCCTCCTCCTCCTCCTCCTCCTCCTCCTCCTCCTCCTCCTGCTTCCCCTCCTCCCCTTCTCCTCTTCCTCAGCGACGGCGGCGGCGGCGGAATGATTACGTAGCACCCCGCAGGTGCGGTTAAGAGTGAGGGGGCAGCCAGGTCGTCGGCAGTCTGTGAGGCTCTGAAGAAGCCCGCCGAAGGCGCCGTCTTCTTTACGAATTAAACCACAAGCCCGCCGTAGGCGCCGATTTCTCTTCAAAAACATTGTGGATGGGTTTCGGGTGAGTCGCGAGGCGTGTTGCGTGGTGGGCCGCGGGATGGGTCTCGGGCGGGTCTTTGGCGAGGACTACGACAACAACAACAACGCAACAACGCAACAGCAACGCAACAACAACGCAGCAATATCCCAAACATATCCCGCATCTCGGAACTCCATTTCGGCCACGCGCACAGGGACAATGAATGACCGTTCGGCCCACCCACTCTGATTTGCCGAGCATTGTTGGACGTCGGCACCCGTCAAAAAACCACCGGACACTATGGGTTTGTCATGTATCGGGGGGGGAGTTTCAAGACTTTTCGACGCTACCTCCCTCCCATTCCCGTTGAACGAACAAGAAGGAGGGGGAGGTATGCACTGGACAGGAACAAACTGTGGACACATTGGGGGCTTAGGAAGTTGAGCAAAGGTGAGTGAGTCAGGTAGGGTCTGGGTTGGTTGGTGCCCGCCAGCACCGAAGGTCTTGCTTTGTTGGGTCGACTTCCCTTGCCGCCCTCTGCGGCCAGACTTGCGCTCGATATCAATAACCCAATGGCACCTGTTCCACTAGGACCCCTTCCCAGGAGAACAGGCGGGTAGCAACCCGATCGTCACCCTTGTTTGCCCGTCGTGGGCCAAGGGGAGGGAAGATTGTTCCTCGTCGCCAACAGCCACCGGCCACCCATGAAGTGGGCGGTGGGTAGGTTAGGCGTCGGAAGCGGCCTCCGGCACCCCCTGCCCCGAGAAGGGCGCGCGGAGCACGGTCTCCTTGCGTGCCTCGTTTCGCGCACCGTTCGCGGAGCACGTGCTCCTCCTGGCCCTGGCCACGGGGGCACGTGCCCCGCGCCGCGCTCCTGCAGGCGGAACTTCCGGGAGCTGTCACCCGCCATTCTCCCGCAGATGGCGCGCGTGGCCACTCACGTGGCGGCGCCGGTTGAGGCCAAAAACATATATGTAGATAGCCCAGTGGGAGAAGCATGGGGATGCAAGAGGTGCGCGGTAGAGTTGGGTTGTTCCCCCAGAGCGCAATCATTCTTTAGTTAAGGCATTGTTTCGGAACCTACGGAGCCGTTCGTGATAGCATAACATTATTGATGCTGCGCGCATCCCGAGCAGCCGTTGCCCAGGCTAGATGGATGCATTGATTAGGGAAGCGTGGAAACACGCAGTGCAACTAAGCGGGTGGGCAGCCGTCAATCCGAAGATCGGGATCAACCTGAGCAGGCCCAGGAGTAAACCGTAAGTACCTTCGCGGATCTGTCGATGCGAGCCTCCTGGCAGCTTGCTCGCGGCCATTTCGAGGCCTTCTTGGGGTTGCTGTGGATGCCTTCGGGGCTCTCTTGGGGACTTCCGTGGGCCCTCTTTGGCCCCTCGCGGGGCCCTCTCGTTGCCCTGGAAGGCGCCCTTGGGGCCATCGCAGGGTCCATGCGCCCTCGCCCGCCCCCACCCCGAAAAAACGCGCCTGTTGGGGCTCTCTTGGGGCTCCCTCGGGCCCCTCTTGGGGCCCCCTTGGAGCTCGCCGGGGCCAGATTGGAGCCGTCTTCGACGCGCCAGAAGTCCACCGACAGCGAAAATGCGAGAAGGTAAACAACATTGATTGTCCAACGGTTTCAGGAGGAGTTTGGCCCCTCGGGGTGGTCCTTGGGAGGTCCCGCGGAAGCTTGGGGCCGTCTTGGGGCGTTATCGGGGCCTCTTGGAGGCATGATGGGGGCTATCTTGAACGCAAAAAAAAAGGCCCGCGCACCATGGCGCTCGGTCCGTCTTCTTCATCCAGGACGAAGAAGACGGGCCGAGGGGATTCCTTTTTCATCCGGGCAAGACGGAGGAGGCGAGGGCGAGAAGGATTCCTTCTCGCCCTCGTCTCTTTTGTCTTGCCTCTCAACTGTACCTTCTTGCCTCCATGGGCCCCTTATCTAAGGGTTTTTTTTCCCATCCAACGCTTTCGCCGCATCGCCGTGGCGTTCCTCTTCGGAGGAGGGCCCGTCGAGACAAGGCGGCCATCCCCGTCCCTGGCGTTCTTCGCCCTTTTTTGCCCTCTCGGGAGTTTCTCGTCGCCGCGCTTGCCTCCCTCATGCGTCCCGCGTCTCCCCCCCGCCTCCTCCATATCCGGCCTCCCCCCCCGCCTCTTCCTCGGCCTCGTCCGCGCCCTTCCGTTCTCTGTCTTGCCTCTTCCCGCCCCCCTCATGCCTTCTCCCTCCCCCCCTCCCGCCCGGCCTCCCCCCCTCTCTCCCACCCCCTCTTTTCTTCCTTCGTCCTCCCTCGCCCCTCCCTCCCCCTCCGCCCCTTTTTCCTTCGTCCTCCCTCGCCCCTCCCCTCCCCCTCCTTCCCTTCCCCCCCCTCCTTTCCCTCCTGTGCCTCGTCCTTGTCATCTTCCATTTGTTGTTTTTCCTGCTCGTGGTCGTCGTGTCCTCGCTTTCCTTTCGGGCCTCCCTGCCGTGCCCTCCTTGGGCTCCTCGTTCCCCCCTTGTCACGCTCGGCCTCCTCGGCGTTTCTTTGATGCTCCGCGCCCCCCTCTTCCTCGGTCCTTCCTTCCCGTCCTCCACCACCCCGTCTTTCTGGCTTAAGTTGGGCTAAATCCTGGTCAGTTGTTTCTATTAAAAAAAGAGCTTAACTTTAGCCGAATGGTGGCCCTTCCTCTTGATTTGCAGACAGTAGAGCCCCTCTGGGGCTGTCTGGCGCGATTCTTCTATTCGTGAGTTGCGCCATGTGCATCGCGTTGTTGCTTGAGGTTTCGCACGCGCATGCGTATGTTTCTCATGTGTCATTAATTTGCGCACGTTGTGGCTTCCATTTTCAAGCACCGCGCTGAAGAAAGGGCCGCGTCTCACAGGCGCATTATATTTACATGTCAGGCGGAACTTCCGTTGCCAGTCGCTCTTCAGTTGATTTGGATTTTGTGGACATCACTTCGGGGAGTTCGGACGAGGAAACGCGGGTCGAGCATCCAGGGTGGTTTCATAGTTGGATTCGTCTCGGCGCTTACATCAAACGATGCGTGTTCAAGACCAGGTACTGGTCGCGCCTCGGATCGTTGCTCGCAGAAAAAAATGGAAGCTTCGAGAACCCTACAATCGTCAGAACGAGCTAGAGTTGTCTGCAACATGTGGGGGGGCTCAACTGGCAGGCCCAGGCACTCGCGCGGCAACAGAGGCAATACCAGCAGGATCTACAGCGGCTGGGAGTGGAGAGCCAGCGCCTGCAGCAAGAGCTTCAACAACGAACATCAGCACCACAGGGCGCGGGCGACGGAGGTCTCGCAGCCCAGGTAGAGAGACTTCGCCAAGACATGGCGAACCGACAACCAAGTTCTAGATTGGTAGATACTCGTGGCATCGGCAAGCAATATGGCTCACGCTTTGGGGAGATGGGAAGATCAAGCTGCTCGGCGCGATCGTCGCAATTACGACGCAGGTGAGCGTGGGGCCATCAATGATCAGATCAAAACGGCAGCTCTCGAATTTACTTCCGAAAGAGGGTATTCTACTGCTGCTGGCGGAAAACGAGTGGGGCCACTGCCGGCTCGACCCCCCCCCCCTTTCCGGAAAACCGGGGGGGGGTCGCTACAGGTTCGAACCCCCAGTCCATCATGAAAAAAACGGGAGGGGGGGGTCACAACTGGTTCGACCCCCCCCCCCTCGAAAACCGGGGGGG